CATGGTGGTTCAAGCGGTGGCTGGGCCGCTGCTGCTCCAGCTCCAGCTCCACAAATCATCAAGGTAGGTTAACAGATTCCAACGTAAACCGTTCAGAATAGCATCAAAAGCGATTGTAGTGTTTCATAATCCTAATTAATTGGAATTAAATGGGAATCGTTTGTTTCAGGTCATCTCTCAAGAAGCTCCAGCGCCAGAAGCTTCAGCCGGATGGTCAGCTCCAGAAGCTTCAGCCGGATGGTCATCAGCTCCAAGCTGGTAAACAGCCCGAGATCAAACATTCAGTATTTAACCTATTTTGTATGGGAAACAATTGTAATATTATAAAATATTGTTATTTGTTGTGTTCATTAGTATAACAAATTGAAAGGAAAAAATAATAAATTCCACTAAAGTACAAATGAATTCAATGTTTTTTCATTTGAATGAAAATTATACTCTTTGGATACAAAAAAATATTATCATCTGAAGAAAAAACACAAAACAAACAACCGCATCACATTAAACAATACCAATTGCAATGGGATAATATCAATAAAAGTCCACTCAAATCAAGATTGTTCAAAAGAAAAATAACAACATCCGTATGCGATTGCTTGAACGAGACTGCTTCTTCTTTTTCACACTACGGACGCCGCTATTGTTGTTAAAATGTTGAAAAATGAGTGCGTTTAATAAAATGCCATTTTATTTATAATATTTAAATAACGAATTTCGAAAACATAATTATTTAGTTTGGCCTTACGCGGCGATGTTGGCATCCCGTGTGCAAAAAAAATGACTAACATTCACTCAGTTGTATTTAACTGTATGTAGTGATACACAACCAAAACTGGCTAAGTTGATTGAAATCATGCGTTTTGTATGGAGACAATCACGTTTAGTTATTCTTTCAGTCAGTCGAACTAATTTGGGACATTTTGACTAAGAGTGATTTGTGATTAAAGTTAACCGCAGTTGCTTATTTTGTTCGAGTCAATCACTTTTAGTCAGTCAAAATGTCCCAAATTAATCGACTTCCACACAAAAATTTTCCACACGGGATTTCATTAAATACGCTGCCAATTCTCAATAAAGATGTTCAATTTTCGAGACAATTCTAAGAATTCCCAAAACATGAAATCGATTCCAAACAGCCGCTTCTGCCGCCACCGCCATTCGTATCATTGTTGTTGCTGCTATCGATGACTGGCTCTTCAGAACAAAGCCCTAATTCAATTTTACCGATTCATTTTCGATAAGATCGAAATGTCTGTGGATATCGAAAACAATCAAGTGTTTACTTGCATGCGTCTGCGAACGCATGATATGTGTTTGTTGTATGGCAACGGTCGAGGATGGAAAAAAAAACAGAACAAAACAGAATACAAAACAAAATAAAACATTTGACCAACAACAGCAAATTAATAGACATATCGATATGTTATTGAGTGCTGAGTGTTGAGTGTGAATAAAAAACATATGTATGTAAATAGTGTCGACAAATATATAAACACTTCCATTCCAAATGCACTCGAAAATGAGCGAACGAGCAAACGAGAAAGAGAGATAGAGAGACCAAGAAAGCAAATGTACAGGTATATGAGGTGAGCGCATCAAGCGCGCGAAACGCCAACATATCGATCCCAAACAAATAACTGATTATAAACAAATATTTAGTTATAAACGATTCAATATTCAATAATAAAAAAAACGAATGCATCGTGATCATCGATCTTCGTCGATTTAATACTTGAGAATAATGTGTCTGGACAGATTTTAAGTGGTTGGATCGATTTTTTTTTTCGTTCACTCTTCTGTCAGCTCGTCCATCGAACCATATTTATTTGAACTTACCACAACCATTGTTGTCGAGTGCTTGGCGATAGAGACGTGCTCCAAGACGTGTCAATTTCGGAAAAAGTCACTAGATCGTCTCTTTTTTTTGCGGCAACATTTTTTTCGCCCAAAAACTGAAGAAAAGAAAACTTGTGTGTACGGAAAAAGAGTGTACTCAATGAGAGTGTGGCACATTTTCTGTAGTGTGTGTGGGAACATGCAAACATCTTTTGGAAATTGAACTCATTCAAACATTTCTATTGGATAATGTTGTTTTTGATGTTGTTAAGGAATATTTGCGTTATTTATCTCTCGCATTCGGGAGAGAGAGAGAGAGAGAAAATAGAAAGCGTCCTAGAAATACGGTTGGAAAACAAGTCAAAGCGCCAGAGAACATGTCATTTTTCTATAAAATTGAAATTTATAAAGAACAAATTTATTGGCATCTCTGTTACTTTCCATGGATGAAAAAATATCCCTGCCCTAGAAAAAATATCTTTATTAAATGTTTGTATCGCTCATACACAACATCATTATGAATTATATTTTCATCAATAGCAACGTAAGATATCGTTGATATGGCTATTGTTCGTTGGAATTCCACTTCTTTCTCTTATCGCTGCCGCCGCTTTCTCATTATTCGAATCGCCTCAGACTCGATGGTGTGATTGTGAATGTGTGGCTACGTTTATTTAAGATGGTTTTTATTTGGTGTGATGTTATCCAAAACCGTATTATTAAATTAATTCAACCATTTTCTTAAAAATTCGGTCCAACAACATCATCGTGACGCAGCAAACACTTTTCTTTCATCGTGCCATGCATAGAATTTCATTTTTTCTTCGTCTATTTTTCTCTCTCTCTTTTCGGGAACAAATTATTTCTCGAACAATACGCCCCAAAGAAATGAACAAAATTTAAACAACCAATGTACGAACATAATTGCAATCGAAAATTTTCTCTGAAGCACTAATGTGTGCACACTAATGCCATCACAGCACAATTTCGTTTATGTGTTGGCGGAGAGTGTTTTAGTGCAAACCACAATATTGTTATTAATTCACGTAAGTTATGTATCAAACCAAGCATACATGTTATTATAATCCATTAAACTATATATTTTTTCGTTTGGTCATATTTTGTGAACAAAATAACGCCAATATAATATGGTGCCTTTGTACGCGACTGACAAGCTTTTTCGCTATTTCTGTTTGCACCACATTCCTATTGCTATTCTTATTTGTGTGTATTTCTTTCGTTCCATCGACAGTTTATGCCAAATCATTGTGTGTTTTAAAATAATAAAATTGTTTATATACAGTCGTTACGTAGTCTCTTTCAATTCGACGCTATTCACCTTTCACGTGTTATTTCATAAACATGTTAAACGTATTTGCCGGTACAGAGACTAAATTAAGGACGAATTCACATTCTTTTTTATACAATGGGCACTCATGAAAAGGGGGACAAATCATTCGGTTTTGTTTAATGAGAAATATTTCGGAGCCACGAAATTGTGGAAAGTGATTCATCTTTACACATTGAAACTAAATTGGCTCAATAACAATTCAAAAAGTTGGATTTGATCATTTTTCATTTCGAGTTGATCGCTAGATGCGGAAATTTGAATATAGTTAGGTGTCAATCGAAAGCAATTGAAGAGCATAAAATGAAGCAAAAATATTTCCAAATCACTGTTCAGTTAACATCGAATGAACGCTTCTGTTTTCTGCACGAAAAGCCAATATTCTCTCGATTCAAGAAGCAACGCAATGTTTCAGTCTCTGCGCAGATGTTATTCAATGTATATACATTTAATTAAACTAAATAAAAATGATTCAATTTGTGTTGTTCGATTTTTGCTGTTGGCATGTGTGTGTGTGTGTGCTGGCTGTCAATTGAAAGCCTCTCATTCCATACATATAATTATATTTGTATACACTTTCAAGTGATTTTGACCGATTTCCGAAGCATTTCTTAGCGATGACTTACGTTTTATTGGCGATGCGAATCAAGTGGTTTTTCTTTCTCAAATATTCCGTGATGTAAAATATTTGCGCATTTCATTTCCTTGCAGCGCAAAATGAACGAAAGAAGGGCTACAATAGCGGATGTGTTCGCTTTATCTCGCATTCCAAGCATTTATGAGTTGAAAATGATTGTTTTACAGAGGAAAAATTATGCCAATTTTCGCCAGATATAAATATTGTGTTCAGTACTTTGTATGTTTGTTGGAATCGTAGTTTTGAGATAGATTTTCTTTATGCGTTGCAGTCATTTTGCGTGGGAACTCTTCTCCGCTAGAGAATCTCTGACTAATCAAATTACAGCAAGTCTTCAATTGAACCATTTCGTTGGAAAGGATTGTTATCTGCTCCGATAAAGTATCGTATATCTTTGGCCTGATAATCGGGATACGTTCGGTTTTGCCGTAGAAGCAGCACTTGCCGACGGAACGAGGAGGGAGAGCATGATTCGGAAATTCATTAAAATCATTTACTTAGGCTGGATAATCCACTTGTTGAATTCAATGGGCCTATCGCATGAAACGAGAGTAAAAAGGAATATTGAAAAATTGAACAAGAAAAAGATGATGTTCGGGTTTCCCAGTGTGAATCTCTCTCTCTTTCTCTCTCTCTCTATCTCTCTCTCTCTTTGTCTCTGGCTACTTCTTTCCGTTGCTTTGTGCTTATTGTATTAATTTGACCTAATCCCTTTGGTTGCTTTATCTTTTGGCAACTATACTCAATGAACGTTTGATAATCCATGTGCATCTGAATGGCTCGGTTAGTGGTCAATGTGTGTGCACAAAAGAAATGAGTGAAAAGGGAGAGAGAAAAAAATGAATTTTGACACCTTTTTTGCACCTCTGTACATTAAACCAGAAAGAAAACGGGTGTACAGAAGACACACAACCAAGGAAGCAGAAAGAGAATCATCAAAGTCATTTTTCATCTCTTTTATTTCCTTCTCTCCTTTCTTGCATCGGATTGAAGAAGGAACACGAAAAGAATGGTTTTGCAGAAATTTCCCAGCGCTATTCGGTCGAATTTTGAGGCTTACAGCGTCTTATCTTTCATCAGAACCAGAGCAAATCCCGGTAATATGTTGGCAAAACGGAAAACATATGCCGGTTTTGTTCTCCTTCTCTCTCTCTCTCCCCCCGTTCACGTTGGCCATTCCATTGCGAATCAGAGGAATTATCGCTTGGTAATGTGTTTTAATCTCTTGAGCAGTGCATTTAATATGCATATCCTACGAATTTTCATCTTGCACAAAACTCAAGAGAATGAAAAAAAAAAAATGGTTCAATAAGAATCCAGAAGCAGCAACAAAAACAACAGGAGCAAAATGGCTAGCAAAAACAATCAAACCGATGCAACCAAACGAATTTCCACGGAACTTTCCAACTTTTTCTTTGGCCCATGAACAAAAATTCATTCTGCATGTAGAATAATTTATTCTGTATTTGCACAATCACCGACATCGCTACATTTGTTTTTCTTTCGTTCTCCGGGAAATTCACACATAGTTTCATTGCATCCGAGTGACTTACGGTGAGCTTTATTCAAATTGTACACACACTCTGTGCACATATTAAATTCTTCCAGTGAAATGAATCCATCCAGCCGGACCAGCAGCATTCATTAAAAATAACAAATTCATCAACTGTAACGGTTTTGTAATCAACCATTCTTTTTTTTTCGTCGAGTGCAAAAATGACAAAAAGTCAATTCTCAAGTGTGGTGGCAGAAACAGAGAACGAACAGAAACAACAACAACGAAAAAAAAACTGTGTTTGTTTAACAGAGTAAAATCAGCCAGTCGAATAATCAATTGTACCATAATGACAAATAAATAAAACATCAACATGAATCGCCCTTTGGCATTTTTTTTTCGCATTTCACGCACATTTTTCCCAAGTTTTTTTCTTCTTTCTCGTTCTTTCTTCCTTCCTTCCTTTCTTCCGTCACGCTACATTTTGTACGCGCCCAAGAATTGAAAAAAAAAATTGGCGATGCTCGCGCGTTTACTTCATGCGCTCGCGCTAACTGCAACGTTCCGATGTGATTCAGGCGCTCTTGTGAACGCGTTTCAACCGAATTCGTTCAGCCACTGCACAGCCATTCATTCAAAAAAGGAACATTATTTACAGTTCAATGATCGGTGCTAATGCAACCCGAGAGAGGAAAAAGTAAAACACCAACTGTAATCGTCGGATTTTTCTGATAATACACGCTCTCACTCATCTGAATCTCACAGCGTATAATTTGTGTTTTACGACTCCGTTGTGTCGCCCATTACACGAATTCAAATGCACATATCGAACACGATCGGCAACAATGTCACGGCATGTCACTCGCCTTATTCACAAATCTATCGACGTAAGAGTGACTGTCGACTGACGTTTTTTTGAACTAGTCGAAATTCGAAAGATATTTATTTAAAACGTTGTTTTTTCAATGGCTTTTTTCTTTAAAACATTCCAACATTATGGATGCAAAATGAATATTCAATCAAGAGAGAAAGAACATTTGTTGAAGTTTCTGCCTCGAAACAAAGAGAATAAGGAAGATAAGACGATGAAATATTAATAAAAGAAAAAACGATAGACACATCAAAGAATTGATATTAAAATCGTCGACATTGAAAATTGACCAAAAGTCATTCAAAGTTCAAAAATTGGCAATTTGAAATTCGCTGTTTGGTTTCTAAATAAAATACCTCTGTGTGTCTACATTAAAATTGACATTAAAGGGAAAAAACCCATATTTGTCAGTTAATAAAACCGCGATATTTGTGTGAATGGAGATCACGAATTGAAAGTGAATTAGATGACAATAGACCATCAGAAGTCGTTGAAAGCTGTGAAGTGATTGTTGATGGCATGGATTTAAATGGTGAATAATGATGAACAGTCAAATGTGTGCGAGCGATTGTGCAAAAGTGGGTGACAAAAATTGTGTGAATGAATTTGGTGAATAGACTCTTTAGCACGAGGGTTCTAACATATATAACTGTTCCATATACACACACACAAACACACACATACACCAAAAAGACGAAATTCATTCGAACCGAAAGCCAAAAGCCATCGCATCAATTCTAAGCCCTATTATTCATTGATCCAAATGAGACAGAATGAGCGTTTAGCATCGACACACAATGCCCAGAAAACTGCAAACAGATTGTGACTGTTTCGCTTTTCACTTCAATTCAACCATACACCCAGAGAGAGAGAGAGAGACTTTCGGCTTTCGAAACGAAACGAAACGAAGGGTGCATAATATTCAGTTATTCAGAGTTGTCGTGTGCACAACGACGAAAAAATAACCAGCCAACATAACAATTGATCAACTTGAAAATGTCCTTGATTGAATTAGCGTATTTAATGAACGAAATGCGAAAAGCTTACACAAACACAAAATAAAAACCATATTTGTTGAGAAAACAAAATTACTTGAATTAACATATTGTGTAAATACGTATCGTTTCAAAATGCCTCACTAATCGGCGAACGTGTGCATTCAAGCGATTACAAAGGCGCATAATTCACACTGAAACCTCAGCAGTTACAAGAGCCATTTCCGCAATTAAAACATCATTTTGCATGGATGTAAATGGATTTAGAAAATAAAACGCTTTTGATGGCTTAATCCAATTGTAAATGATCGCAAATTTATGTTAAATCTAAGAATTATAGACATAAATCAGCAAATCTCCTATTCATAATAAAAAAAAAAACCAACAAAATCTCCAATCGTTCACCTTAATAGTGTGAAGTCTGGTGACGTCAATTTTTCGATTTATTTTCAATTGATTTATTTTTTTCTGCTGAAAACCTGTTAATTTTTCCCACAATCTTGAACATAAAAGAAGAAGATCAATACGGAAAAACTCCAATTTTTGCACTATTTGAGTGCATTTTTCTCAACAAAGAAAAAACGGGATCGAGTAAACACTCGTCATCCACTCGACTCAATTGTTGCAATCTTTTTCCGGAAAAATAGTGCTTGAGATTTGGAATGGAAATATCTTGGGCTCTCTTTCTCTAAACACATTGTTTGTCCTTTTCACCATTGCATTTCATTGTATAACACTTGAGTGGAAGGAATTATTCACACATTTTATAGAAGAAAAAAAAAACCGAACAAAAAACACAGAGATTTGTGTAAACTTCTAATCGTTGTTCAACGGAAGAAAAACGCACTTTTCTCCGCATTTTTTTTTTGTTCTTTCTCTGCTTCGTCCGTTTATTCTTGACTTACCTTAATTCTCGATCTTTTCGTTCTTTATGCGCCTATTGAGCTCGTCTCAACGGTGGTATTATTATTATATAAATGCTCTGAATCATTATCGTCAAGAGGTGTAGAGGAAAGTGCGAAGCGAGCGACACACAGTGAGTGATGCAGGAGAGAGAGAGAGAGAGAGAGAGAGCAACAGCATAAAAATAACACAACTGTTTCTAGTTGTTGTTGATTGAATTAAAGGAAAAAAACACACTATAACAGCAGGGATCGCATTTAATGAGTGTACTTGAGATTGATATTGAAAGAAATGAATCCGAAACTTAAGTTAAGTTGTTATTCTTGGTATTACTTCTTTTTCCGTCATCTTGGTAAACAAATGAGAGGGAGAGGGAGCATTTGGCCAGCGATTATATATATAAAAAAAAGTATCTGAACAAGTATTTTGATTAACTCGCACCATATTTTCTGAGTATTTTAAATTGTTTTTCTTTTTAAATCCTGTCAATTTAAATGCACACAATCAAAGTTCTCTCTGGCTCTCTTCATCTCTCTTTCACGCAGGTCTTTCCTTTGAAAAAAGAAAAAGTGTTGATTGAAGTGTTTCAGAAAAAAGAATCCTATCTCAAGTGGAAAATCTTTATTATTCCTTTATCGCTTTTCAAAAAAGCTATATTCGCTGAAGTTCATTATTTTCAAACTAAATAAACATTATGATCAAGCATATTACTCTCGGGTGATTTTCGTTCGCTTTTCTCGTATGTCGCTGTTGTTGTTCCGAAATAAAGAAGAAGAAGAAAAATAAAGCCCGTATTCATTTTCAATTTTATTTATTGTTTAATTTCAAATTTTCTGTTGTTTTTGTTTAAAATTTTCTCTTAACAAACTATTGGATTTCATATCATGAACGATTCCAAGGTTGACACAAGTGTTTTTTTTTTCATAGCAACGAATTTGTATCTCTGTTTTTTTTTCTGGAGATTTTTTCAGAATGTTTCCATTTCTTTTAATTACATGATTAAGCACTTACATCGACTGTACTTTCTTACATAAACATTGAATTTTTTTTTTGTATAATTTTTTGATATTTTTTCCTTTCATTTGTAAATTCTACTGGATCTCTGGAGGATTTCACAAAAAAATGTTTCGTTCTTTCGAGCATTCAATGATTAAAACACTAAATTTCATTAAATGCAATGATTTTTACACGGAATGACAAAAAAAAATGAAAAGTGATTTTCTTGTTTAGTGAAATGTCGATCGAAATGAAGATGGGTTATGCCAAATTATTAGGATTTGATACATTTGTGGTCCAATTTTTTTCTTTATTCCACCCACAACAAACACAACCTCAGTTTCGATCGTATCGAAAATAAAGACGAATTCTTAACTGAACAATAGAATTTTCTTGATGGTAGGTACGAAATTAAAAAAAAAAAGATAAACCGAACATAAGTGAATCAAATAAATGAGAAAATGTGTGATACCTTAATTATCGTTCCAGTCGTTAGTTAGACCATTAGTACTACGATCAGCACAATTCGATTACCGTTTCCTAAACTAAATTAGACCTGATTTTGGATTCGGTTGATATCCATGATTCTTGTATTTATGTTGTTGTTGTTGTTGTTGTTGTTGTTGTTGAGGTGTTTCATATAGTGTGACAGCCAAATATATTTTGTTTTGAAATTCATTTACGAAATAGGTTTCACATGATAATGTGCCAAAAGGAATGTCTGCACTGCGTTCTTCTTGTTTTTCATTCTTCAGTGTGCATTATTGTATTGTTGTGAATTGACCGCTGCAATGCGATGTCCATAGTAGCGGCTAACCAAAATGCGTGGATCAATGGATGGCGCAGTGACGGCTGCATTGGCCAATTCTAAATGTTGTCGAATTTTCGGTGGCATTTCCAAATTGTTGTCATCGTTCATCGCATTGTATGGCAGATGGACGGAATCATCTTCCATTTCGCACACATTATATTGTGCGCATTTTTTACTCGTTTTCATCGTTTGATCGTCTTGCATTGTTTCATTGTATTCGGTCAAATCGGTGGTGACGGTGGTTTCTTCGCTGGATCGTCGTTGATTTATGTCAGACTTGGTAATTTCATCGTCGACAAATAGCCGTAATTTATGCTGCCTATGAAAATGTTCGGCATCAAAAATGCTGCGATGATTATTATTATCACTTTCTTCGCTCTCCTCCACATCAATCTCTTCCTCGATATCACAATGCGTTGTTTGTTGGATTTGAATTTTGGTGCGAATTGGTTTTTCGTCAATGTCATGATTGTCGGGTGCCAGCAATGAGGCAACATCAAATTGTCGCTTGCGTGCCGATGAACGATGATGCGACACGGTTGAAAAGACTTTTGTTGTGGCCGTTATATGATGTTGCGTATGATGTGGATGATGATGTATGGGCCCAATGCGATTTTGATCGGGAATTCCCGGTTGAAACATGCCATGATGATTACCGATTGCATTCATCCATTGCAATGCCGTCGAAATGGGTGGCGGTGTGATCGACAATGGTGGTGGACTTGGTGAATCGGTGCCATCATCATCAACCGCTAGACCCATATGTTTGCGAACTTTTCGTTGAGCTTTGCGTCGTCGAAAATCACCTCTTTTAAAATCCTCCAGATTGGCCGGATGAATGGCCCAATAATGACCCTTGCCGTTGGCACTGCGACCAGCTTTCACAAAACAATCGTTCAGCGATAAATTATGACGGATACTATTGCGCCAGCCGGGTCCACGGGATCGAAAGTATGCATAATTGTCTAGTATGTACTGATAAATATCCGATAGCACGAGCTTACATTCCGCCGAATTTAAAATAGCGATCGCAATCAAACCGATGTAACTGTGCTGTGGCTTCGGTTCTTCCGGTTGAAAGACGCGATTGTGGAACAATGACATCGACAATGCTAAACGTGGTCCGTATGGGCCCATGAGAGCTGCTGCCGCTGCAGCCGGATAACTCGAACAGATTTGTGGCATTGGCTGTGAATATTGTGCACATCGTAATCGTTCGGCCATTGCATAATTGTACAATTGAAAGCGATAATGATCGAATAGTCCGGATGGTTGAAGCGATGACATTGCCGTTGGATTTACTGCTACTGCTGATGCTGCTGATGCTGTTGGGGTTGTTGTCGTTGTCGATGATATCGGACTGATTGCCGTCGATGTAACTGACTGTTGAACGAACGCGCTTTCATGTGAATTCATTGACTCAGACGGCGATTGTGCTGATGTTGTCAGTGCCGATTGTGGCATTGTCAAAGGCATATTGATTAATTACGATTGTGTACGTAACAACAACACACAAATAATATTAAATTCTCGAAATTGTTCGTGTGTGTTTGTTTTTTTTTTTTAAATTCACCTCTTCCAGATGATTTGAGCGTTTGTCGATGCGAACGTTTTGCTGTTACACTTTCACGCACGTCAATTCGTTGTGTATTCGATTCGCTTTTACTATTTATTCCTTGTGTTATTGTCGTCAAGTCACAAAATTGCCAGCCCATCAACTATCAAATTCGTTCTTGTTCTTTCTCTCGATCGCTGGCTTTCTATTCACACTTAATTACAAATTCAATAGAATGGAATTAGGAATGTACGTCACAAAATGCAAATTTCCTATTCACACATTTGATTATGTACAGCGATGGCTGCAAAACACTTGCACTAAATTCAAATTTTTCTTTTTCTCGATCGAAATTCAAGTCAGCTCAAAGGTTTGTCTCATGTATCACGTAATAAAGTCTGTCTTTTTGAATTGAAGCGATAACTAAATTTTTTTTTTCTTAGTTCTCTGTTTTTTTTGGTTTGTTTTAGCCAAATTCTGATGATATACAATTGCACGTTGCGAAGCCAATAAGAGAAAAAAAAATTAAAATTAAAAGCAAAAAAAAAACTTGCAGAAAAATTTGCGGCAAAAATGCGTTATGTGTCGACACAAACGATGTCAACGATAGAACTAATATGTTGAAAAGCGATTGTATGGATTTTTTTTCCCAAAGCTTGAGCACAACTGAGGAGATGTGTGTGATTCGATCGGCACACAGAACTACTCTAATGTAATCGCACAATTTATAGCACATAAACGTATTTACATCGATGGTATGGCTGCTACTACTGTTGGTGGTGATGATGATGATGATGATGCTGCTGCTGCTTCTGCTTCTATTGCTGTGTGTAGCTGTGTTTCATGTTTTGTGTTGTTTTTTTTTATTTTCGTCTTCCTTTCCCTTCTCCTCTTATTGTTATTTGCATTTTAACGAAAAACAAAAACAGCAGCCAAACCAACCAGCCAACCAACTAGCCTGTCAGCATAAGTAATGGGTATACGAGAATATTTGAAAAGAAAAACAACAACATACACACACACACACAGCGAAAGACAGAAAGAGAGAGAGAGAGAGAGAGAGAGCGAGCGAGTGCACATAACACACATAATACGATACCACATCAATATAATCATCATTCAATCCTGTTCAATAAGAATAACAATATACAAATATGTGTTATTTATGTACCCGAAAATTCTTCCCCATTGAAAATTCTTCCACTCGCTCGCTCACGCATTCACTCATTCATTTCTCTTCTCGCTCTGGCCTTGGCTCTTGCCCTGCGATATAGCATACAAACACGGTTGCGATGCTGCCTCCTCATTGCACACAGCCATACAAACGCTCACTCGGATTCGCAGACGATGAAGACGAAGAATGGGAAAAACACACCGAGAAATCATTGTTGGGAAAACAGCTAGAGCAATAAGAGCCCAGATGAAAAAGAAAACCGTAACAACAACAACAGCAGCAACAAAAGCAACAGCAGCAGCCGGTCGAAGAACGAAGAAGAGCAAAGCAAGAGGCAAGGGGAGAGTCTACACAACAAAAACACCACGAGAAGCACTAAGTGGTGATCATTCAAAAACGGCACGCACACTCATTCACAACATATACATATATATCGTTTTCTCTGTCGCACCAATCAGTGCCATACCCATAAATTGTATGTTGTGAGCGTTTGCGAGAACGCACCAAAAAAAATTTCCAATGTGGTGTGTGTCTAACATTCATTTGGCAAAACCTCGCTCGCGCTCTACCCAAAACCCAACGATAGCATTTTGATGTGTCGTGTTTTCTTTCAAAATACACACATTCATCCATATACATACCGTGCACACAGTATGAAGAGGATGAGTACTCGCGTTCGCTGTTTTCATTGCAAACATCGACAAAACAAGGCAACAACCAAAATCGTTTCGTCTCTCTCTGTTGTGCACACCGGGTATTCCGGGCGGCCAGCGAAGAATATGTCTATATGGTATGCGCGTGCATCCATCAACACATTGGATGGATATTCCCATTCGTGAATGTAAACTGGTGCTGGTGTGTATGCTTTTCTGTATCGTTGTGTTTTTGTCGTCCTATTTTTCGGTCGCCGTCTCTCTCTCTCTCTTCATAGTGATTGGTTTGATTTTGTTGAGGGTAAAAACAAGTCGATTTTAATACTCATCGTAACTCATACATATTTTCTTTTGTTTATATCATAACAAACGCCAGCAACCAGCAGCAGCAGCAGAAGCAGCAAAAGCAGCAGAAGCAACAGAAGCAGCCCCGAACAAAAAACAATCACCACCATAACGATGAGCAAGACAGCGACAGTGGCAGAGATAGATGGAGGGAGAAAAAAAGGAATCGCTGTTTCTGTTGGTTGGCGTGTCATCTAGAGGGAAGTATTGCTGAACGGAGCGGAGAATTGCTTGTTTTTGTTTTCGTTTGTGTTGTGCTATTTTTCTTCATTCGTGTATCGCATTTTTTGTCTTCCATTCGGTTGGCATCGTCCTAGTTGTCGTTTTCGTTTTTGCCCTGCTTCTGTGCTTCGTATTGTACAACGTTCTTCTCATCTCCAACTCATTCTCTTTCTCTCTCTCTCTCTCTCTCTCTCTCTCTCTCTCTCTCTCTTTCGTTTTCGATCTTGCTCTCGCTTGCTTTCTCTTGTCGGCTGCTTGGCCAACACCACTCGTTAAACTTGCAGCAACGATATCGTCGAAACAAATTTATTATGTGCTCTCTCAAGCAAAATGTGACAACATCAGCACAGATCTCTGTTTTCCGCATGCACACACCACCACAAGAACTCTATGGCATAAAACGTAACCAATACACAGTTGTTATAAACAGTGAAAAAGCATCATTATGTACTACGCACGTCGAAATTTCCCGAATTTCGTTTATATTTTGTTGTTGTTGCTGTTGTACACAGTACACAACAACTTTTGTTCTACTGCTCTTCGTGTGAGCGACAAAAGTTGCTTTCCAACCTCTTTTGAAATTCAAATCCACATTTGGGGAAATGGGACGATGGGATATTCAGATTTATTTGTGCATATTTATATCAGAATTCTTTTTTTTTCACTCATTTTTTGCTCTTTCTTTCGTATGCGGATAAATATAAAATATGCGCGCGAAGTGTTTTTGCTTCTCCTTCTTCTTCTTCTTCTGGAGAATCCCATTGCCGTGCGCTGAGTTTGTCGTTTATTGTGTATCAAATAAGAAAGCCATTTACAACAATAACACAAAACCACCGCCCTCTTTGTCTGCAGCACAGTTTGTAATTGAATACTTAGCATGTATTTTTGTTATTTTAACAGGCCCATTGTTTTGTCACACATACACACATACCAAGCGCGCAGAACTTTCGACTTTCTCACAACATCTCTCGCAACGGATGCAAACCATTCAACCATGAATGTGTGATTTCATTTTTTGAATATACTTGAGAAAGAAAGACTTGATCACTTTCGATTGCGATGATCTATTTTAACTTCTTCCAGAGGAAAATATGAGAAGTTTTCTCAAAGCAATTGTTGTTCAGGAATTTGAAAATTTTTGGCTGACATTTCCGAATTCTTCATTTCTTTTTCCACTTAAAATATTCCGTCGTTTCCTTCTGGATTTCGCCCGATTTGTCCCCATTTTTTCAAAGACATTTTTTGTTTGTACTGTGGAATCGCGAGTGATTCATTCGTAAAGGCAGTTAATTCAAAGTATTCGATGAAAATTTTGTTGATTTTGCATCTTTTTCTTATCAGGAGTCCTGATTCAGGACACTTTGATTCGCTCATTAAATACTCGGGCGAAAAGTGCCATATTGTCCACGTTTATTTATCAAACCAGAAACAAAAACTCACTCACACAAAATCGTTTGTGGCATGTTGGGCAAAGGGAAACCAATTTATTTGAATAGAATGGTATGGCATGTGCTTGGTTCGATTGTAACTGACCTGAAAATTTGATGTGAACTAAACGGGCCAGAATTGTTCACCGAAAATGTGATGGTTTTTATTTTCGAATGAATTGTTGAAGTGCCAAATTAGAGCGTGCTTTTGAATAAATCTTTGTTCAAATGCCTATTGCATTGTGTGTGTGTGTGTGTGTGTGTGTGTGTTTCTGGGTTCTCATTGAAACGAGCAAAAAAGCTATGTGCCTAGCCCAGTGTTCGGTAACAATTTGTGGCTTCAGTAAATCGTGACAATAACATTAAATAAATAAATACTCGGAGGCCGTCGTCAGAAGAAAAAGTAGGCTGAAAAATGAATGAAGCGTAAGCGAGCAGAGAGAAGCTGAGCCGAGCCGAGCCGAGCCGATTCGAATCGAGTCGCATTGTTGCGATGGAAATAAAACGCACACATGGCCGGATGAACGAGGCAACAGTAGTAAAAGCAGCCAAAGATTTCGTATGTTTGATTCACGTGTGAGAATCCTCATCAATTCGGTGGTTGAAATACATAAACAATATTTCGAATTGTTAGAATTTCAATTTGTCGATCGATGTTCGACAGCGCACATTACCAGAGAAAAGAATACCGATGAAATAAAAAAAAATGAATTTAATCGAATGCGCAAAATACTCAGTGAAAATCACCACCCAGTACCAATTGCAAAGCGTAAATCATATTCGATCGTATTCATTTCTTATGGGTCTCTGTTGTCGAACCGTTTTTCAGTGGTGATGCGAACGCCACTCCCATTTCTTTACAGCACGCTTCATTCGTACACGCACACACATACACATCAATACAGGCAAACACATTGACGGCTATGAGACTTCTATTGTCATCGCAATGCTATGTTGTTATGCTCTGAAGAACTCAGCTGAAGTGGGCTGGCTTTTGGTTCACAAACACACACTCACCATCACCGTCGTTGCTGCCGCCGCCGTTGTCGTCGTCGCCGTCATCCGTGGATTGTGTGTGAATCGACAAAACGATTCCCGTGATTTAACGCATGCACAAGACACTTTCTCAACTTCAAAATGTTGCTAGAACTTTTATGCTCCTTCTCCCTGTATGTAATGCCCAACATATGTGTGTCTGCACAACACTCTCGATAATGATATTCGATTTCTTTTTTCTTCTTCTCGGTTCTTTTTATGCATAAAACCACGAACATAACTCTGACTCGCTGACAATTTCCGATATATGCGCATACATAAAATTTGCCCAACAACTTTATGCCATGAAATGAACAATACAAGTTGGTGGGCCCCCCTCACAGTTCAGAAAAACATATTCGGTGCAGCCATTTACCACATTCTCAACATGATATTCGGATATACAGAGAATATTGTTTGCAATTTTTTTTAATGAATGCAAAGTTGTTGCCGAAAGAGAGAGAGAGAGAGAGAGAGCTCTGCATTTGTAATGAGATTGATAGCTCTGCAACATTGAAATCATAGAAAGATTTCATATGAAACCAGCAACTTGCGTGTTCAGTAAAAATGTCATTCGATTAAAAAAAAGTCAACTTGCGAAAAAAAATTCTGTCGAGTTTTGTTGTCTCAAAGTTTTCAACAGAATTTGTGTGGTTGTCGAGTTGTTAATCATTATCGAGGCTTCATTAAAATTTCATTTTTAATACACATTATTTTCCCTTCATTTTGTCGAGCATTTGGAATTTTGTCCGAGCTCTGTCCAAAAAAGAGTTTGTAAATGCACAGTTTGATAATAAGTTCATTTGAAATTTTCGAAAATTTCCAAGTTCTCTTTCCCTCTCTCTATC